CTAATACCCCGTAACTAACCCTCCCCTCCCTCCTACCCCTCCCTCCCCCTCCCCCCTCACCTTCCCCTACCCCTTAACTAACCCTCCCCTCCCTCCCCCTACCCCTTAACTAACCCTCCCCTCCCTCCCCCTCCCCCCCCACCTTCCCCTACCCTTAACGAACCCTCCCCTCCCTCCCACCCCTCCCCCACCCCCTCACCTTCCCCTACCCCTTAACGAACCCTCCCCTCCCTCCCCCCTCCCCCTCCCCCTCACCATCCCCTACCCCTTAACGAACCCTCCTCTCCCTCCCACCCCTTCCCCTCCCCCTCACCATCCCCTACCCCTTAACGAACCCTCCCCTCCCCCTCCCCCTCCCCCTCACCTTCCCCTACCTCTTAACTAATCCTCCTCCCCCTTCCCTTGCCTGTTTCCCGGAGCAAAGTTTATTTTAAACGATGACACATTGATGCATGAAATTTCTGAGAGTAGTCACTGACGCTGTCAACTTCACCACGTGCTTCTACTTACTGGCACCGTTAGTTTCATTTATTGGCACCGTTAGTTTCATTTACTGGCACCGTTAGTTTCATTTATTGGCACCGTTAGTTTCATTTATTGGCACCGTTAGTTTCATTTATTGGCACCATCAGTTTCATTTATTGGCACCGTTAGTTTCATTTATTGGCACCGTTAGTTTCATTTATTGGCACCGTTAGTTTCATTTATTGGCACCGTTAGTTTCATTTACATATCACTTGGAAATAAATGATATCGATATGCAATTAACAAATGGGAAATATTACTTATTTATTCTAGTTTTAAAATGTTATTGTACTTACGCTTCTGACTGTGGATAAGTTTGGATCAATATTCGTCTGCCCTTTCACTGTAAAATATGGTGTTGATATTGCCAAATATAATTAGTTTATCATGCTATACACGGTAATGTCAACTTTATAATCAGTGTATTATTAATATCTCGTATTACACTTCACTGTTAGTTAAAATTTCGATCGTTTGTTTCCATATTTATATCAGGTGTGTTATTCACTGTATATCTTTTTTCATTCTCTATTTATGTTATAAATCGTTCATACGCATGACTGTATAACTATACACTACATACAGTACACTTAAATAATCCTTGTATTTTACCAAACATCAGAAATCTCAAGGGTGTAGCTAAAAAAACAAAAAATATCCACACATCAGTCGAAAACAGCGGCAGCGCGCACCTTCCCCTCCGGCATCCGGCTTGGCACTAGCGAGAGGATGGGTTGGCACTGTCATGATACTGAGCGCACGGCACCGAATTTCGACCACCGTTTCAATTGCGCATTATGACACTTCTGGGAATTCTATTGGCCTCTCCATCCGTGTGCACGCATCCGCACGCACACATGCACTTACATGGGAATTATGTATATATATATATATATATATATATATATATATATATATATATATATATAT